TTTTAAGTGACCACAGGTTCGGACCGATTAAACAGTTTATTATTCGTTTTGCAGTCTGCTCGATTTTCGCCCGCGTCACAACCACGTGACAATACACATAAAGAAGTGATTAAAAAGGGAAATGTAAGTGCTCGGGTAAAAGGACATGGCCGCTGGTGGAATGCATATCGCACGTGATCTTACCATTGAGCTACCATGTTTCCCGTCCAATTTTTCAATACTGCATTAGCAGGCGACACAATGGCGAAAACATCACACTTACACGCAAACTGCAGACATGGATTTGTATCGCACCTGCAGCCGGTGGTTATTTTCCCCCACTTTCATTTCTAGCCTTGATCATTTGTTTATTTGAATTAAACACGGGCACTCGCAGAACTTTTTGCAGGAGGGTGCATCCGCAGATGGAAAACCGGGTGGGGCGGTATCCAACGCAGGTAGCCTTTCTTTCTCTGTCATGACATCATAACCGGCAATATTATTCACTTGTGTGTAACATGCAATATTGAGAGCTTTTTCACACGAACATGCGGGACTTGAGGTGTGCTAATCAAGCTGTCTACTCATTGCTACTACACAGAATATTAAACATTTCTGGGAAAGGAGAGCAGTCAACCACCTGGTACTCCCCTCCAGACACCCTCGTAAATAAATAAAAATGCAAAACTAGCTGCCATAGAACCTTAGCAGCTAATATGTTGCACTGCAAAAGTTGATTCTCGGCCATGGCGGCCAAATTTTTTAGAATGAAAAGCAAGAACACCTATGCACTTAGCTTTAGGTGCATATTACAGAATTTCAGGTAGTCAAAATGAATCTGGAGTCTCATTACCAGAGGCCGCATTTCTAGGCACTAAAAAGGTGTGTTTCAGGCTCCAAACACAGGCAGGTAAAACACCGTTTTAGGCCCTCAATATCAAAATTATAGGCACAGTAAAGTTCTACAAAAATTGAAATATCCCAAAAATGACGACATTGGTCAACTGTATCTACAGCAAGAAGCAAAAAAAAAAAGATATTGTTTAAGATAGCAGAAAGGTACCAACGATCGAACATAGGCATGCATTTCCCGTGCGATTCGCAGTATGTGGTCTTTCATTTTGTTGTCTAACATTGTGCGTCAAGTGTCCACCATTCAATTAACACTCTCCTGGGTCTATTTTGTTTCGTTGTGGCTGGGCAGGACAGCGCAGGAGCAAATAACCAGACCACTGATTCTCCAGAAGAGAGGGATGCTAGGTCTAATTGCATAGGACCTATTTCTCTCCCATTGGTGAACACCTCAAAGGGCCCCTACTAGGTTTGGACATTTCGAGCTGAAAAGCGTAATAGTGCGCTGGGCACTCCGGATCATTCCTGTCAAGATTTGCAAAATTACTTGTTGCGGAAAAGCGCTCAATTTCAAATGAATGCTACTTTCCCTTCTCGCAGGCGTGCGCCCCAATATCTAGGGAGTGACGTACAGCAAGGAACGCCGCTCCTTTACATTGAAATTGGTGGGCAGACGTCACATACCGTACGCTCTTCATTGGACCTTCGTTAAATGTTAGCTATATCTAGAAAAACAGACGCAAAATGTCCCGTCTTCTGATTATATACTGCATTTTTAAGGGTACCTCGTTGAGAGCGTTGCACATAACATTACTCTACTTGGCATGTGCAATTTGTGTGTTCTGTTGTGTAGCATGAATGAGGAGTACTTTGGTTTGGGCTAGCTACTTCATATTATTTTGATAGGAAAGCGCTAAGACAAAGAAAAAAAACGCGCTCTTTGTCTCTATGCCTTTCTTTTCCCTGTGTCTTTACACTACCCTTTCAAAATCGGTATAATGAACGAAAGCTGAGAAAAATAATAAAACTTGCAAACGGAATCTCAGCTTTTTATTTTTGTTTTGAATAGTCTCAAGGTGCTATTCACTAAACGGCCCTCGTTTCGCGTCGGCCTTGGTGAACCAGTCGCTATAGGGTGTTCCGCTGCTGACCCGAATGCCGCGGATTCGATTGTGGCCGCGGCGGTCACATCTAGATGGAGGCGAAAAAGTAAGTGCCCGTGTACTGTGGTATGTCAGTGCACGTTGAAGAACATCAGTTGGTCAAAATTTGTGGAGACCTCCACTACGGCACCCCTCATATTCATATCGTGGTTTTGTTACGTAAAATCACACATGCTGCCACTGCTACTACTAGTACTACTACCCCATTTGGCTTGCGTTCGTCTTCTCATTGATCTTGCATCGTGCCTTCGCCAACCCTTAGCTTGTGTTTGGTGCGTCGTCTCCGACCCCATTCTCAGTGGAGCGACGTGGTGTATCGCGGTCACAATACATGATCCTTGCCAGACTTTCCTAAAGTACACGCACTGACTGATCCATGCCACAGGAACGGGTAATACACAACAGAGAACGTTGAAACGACACATCGATGGCGTACGTGCACAAGTAGGCTAAGGCACAGCATTCGCGCGTAACCTTGCTTACCCATGCTGTTCTTGGTGCGTATGCGCCATGTGATTTTCCAGCCACCATACCGAAGAGAACAGGGAAGGAATGAGGCTTGCGATGGCTACACGGGACGAGAGGCAAGCGAATAAAGCTTTCTTCTTCGCATCATGCTTTGGTGGCTCATAGCGAACCAATTTGAAAACTCACCGTGGTAGAACGCTTTTCATTGGGCACGCAAGAACTTCTAGTGTCTAACTGCAACTTATTATGTTACCTAGAGAGGGATGCTTAAAAAGTAAATTACAAACAAAACAAAGCCGCATGCACATCACATTTTTTGTCCGAAGGCGCTGCAGGAGATGGGTTTACTATGTCAATGAAAACACGCCTTCATTGACACAACACACTTTCTCTTTTCATGGCATTTCATTCTGCCATGAAACACACAAAAAATGAATAGGAAAATTATAATTGATACGACACATTGAATTCTTAATTACCATTGTGCAAAGAGGACTGTTTAGGTACATTAATTTTCGAATGCGAGTTTTACCATGAGAAGCTTGACATAGGAGATTTGACCCAGTTTAATTCGACGCAATAATAGTAATTTCCACCCTACTTCATTTTTCATATTGTTACAGCTGTCATTTTTGAGTAATGGCTTAGAACAAACCTTAAAGCCCTGTGCTGTATTTTTCATGTTTGTCACTTAAAGACATATGACAAGGATCTCATACGGAACAAGCGTATTCAAGCACGCGGTGAAAGTAAGCTAAATACACCGTTTATTGTAAACATGCTGGCGTCTGTCTCAGGCTTTACTGTGTAAAGTATAACGATTTGGCAACCTTTGCCACCACTGAATCAACAAGAGCATTTCATGAGTGGCCCTCCATGGTTTTTTATTCATTCTCCAGCTACCCGCGGCTGCCCAGAAAAACCTGCTCTTCCTTTCCCACCTCAACACTCAGGTTTGTCGGGGCGGTTCTTCGGTTCCTTCAGGGCACTGGGCAGCCGTCTATATAGAAGGCGGTCTGCGCGTCCTAGGCCATAGACGTCACTTTTATTTTCTTTCCCCACCCCTAATTCTCTCTCCACCTTCCCCTGCAGACGCTGAGACGTTTTTTCACTGAGGGCTGCAGAAATAGCGTCTTCGGCACTCCTCATACTCCTCTTCCAATCGCTCGCAGCATGTCAGTTTTGTCTTTGTAAACTTTAGAGTGCTTGGAAATGTCAATGTTGCCTTTTTTTATATGAATTAAGGTTTCACACCACGCTCGAAAACTAAGTTTCGGCTTGAATAGTGCTCATATAGGCGCTCATTTGGAAAATAGGCATTCATAGGCACCATAAAAACACCATAAAAGCCCTTCTTAACCTCTCATCCATGCTCATATATCGAAATGGCACAATAGGAATGCCCGGAACAAAACAGGCTTTTGCCTATAATCTGGTCTGTACTCATTAGTCATTCATGCCTCAAAGTCACACTATGCCTTTCGCATATCCCATTGTGCTTTAGGGCGATTATATGTAATATTAAGCAAAGCATGGCTGGTCGACCTCAAAATTTTATATAATGTTGCTTGATCAGTGGAAAGATGAGATCCACAATTCGTTTTGCCGAAAAAAAAAAAAAAAAATGGAAGCACAGTAAACTAAAGGGGGAGTGCCATGCTTACCTGCTCTGATGTTGTTTTTCGAATTCGGCGATGAATTCCGCATAATATATTAAAGCTACATACTTTTAGCTAGGCGTACTTGTGCTTGCAGTCAATTATATTTCAATTCTTTTTGAAATGTCATTTTTTTATTAAAAATTCTCAAATTTGGCCATAACTGAAACTGGAACCATATTATGCAACATGTTTTTATTAATTGTGAGAGCTGATGTGCAGGAGAATAAGTAGGGAAGGTATAAAAAATATCAAAAATGATTTCTTTATCATGGTCAGAAGTTTCTCTTGCATGCTCTTTTCTTGAAGTTAGCGCGATTAAATGTCTTTATTGAAAAGTGTTATTACTGTAAGCTTTGGCAGTTTTATAAATAAGCATGCTGAGAAAGTAATGCGGAATTTTTACCGCTCTGTCATAGGTCCTTTTTGAAATAAAGGCCTGCAAACGAGGCAAAAAAAAAAATGTTTGTAGGTCAAATTTGAGAATTTCCATAAAAAATGTACACTATGCGGAGAATCTAAATATAATTGAATGTAGGCACAAGTACACCTATAATTAATTAAATAAACGAGCTACATAGCTTAAATATATTTTGTGTAATTCATCACCAAATTTGAAAAAAAAAACAAAAAAAACAGCAGAGCAAGTAAGCATGGCATTCCAACTCTTCATCATTATTGATTTACTAACCTTTAAAAAAAATTTACAGCAAAACCAATTGCGGACCTCTTCCTTTCACTCATAAAGCAACAGTATAGAAAATTTTGAAAGAAATTTAAGAGATCGACCAGCCATGCTTTGTTCGATCTTACGTGGAATCACCCTTTAGCCAGATAAACCTCTGAAGTTACATGCTAAGTATGAATTAAATATAAAAGCATTCCTCCAAAATTAAAAAGAGATGTAAATGGTGACACAAATGCTAAGTCTCTTAAATCAAAATATTTAGGTTGCATACCAATTATGTCACATATATACAGGCTTCAAAGCAACAGTTTATAAAGTAGGTACATATTTATATTACACCTCATTAGCCAATGCAGACTTGGCAGCAAAGTTGTACTTTTTCTTCCTCTCCGGGCCAACTTGTTCGCTCTTCACAATAGCTTCCACGGCCTTAAGAGCATCCCGGTACTTGCTTTGCAATTCTTCAAGCTCATCAGTTTTGCCAAGATCGAGGGGTTGAATGTCGGTCTTTCCAGCTGACGAAAGCATCTCCTTGAAAGCCCGCAACTGACCTTGCCGCAGAAATGTCACGGCTGTGCCTGGAACACCAGCACGTGCAGTCCTACCCACCCTGTGCACATATGTCTTGATAAACTTTGGAGGGTCGTAGCATATGACATGGCGCACATTTGCCACGTCAAGACCTCTGGCCAGAACATTAGAGCAGACTAAGATGTCTAGTTTGCCAGACGCGAACTTCCTCAGCACTCGTTCACGATCTGCTATGCTCAGTTTAGCAGAAAATTCTTCAGCACGAACATTACCCATTTCTTTGAGCACCAAGCTAAGCCTGTGGGCATCCTCCTTGGAAGCAGTGAAACAAAGGGTGTCCCGGAAACCGTGGTTTGCCACAAGATCCCATACGGCCAATGGCTTTTTGTTATCGTGAGTGAGGTAGTAGAATTCGCTAAGCCCCTGTGGTGTAGTATACTTTCCAACAAAAGTTTTCTGCCGTTGTTCATCGCCTGGCATGCCGACTGTTGCAGTGGCTGTGAAAAGCTTTGGCTGAAAAAGCATAAGGCTTTGCAGTTTATCAGGATCTTGAGTCAGTGTAGCCGAGTAGAGTAGCTTTTGCACAGGCTCTCGGCAATGCTGAAGACAGCAAACAGTCAATGGATGTGTGCACAGCCGGTTGTGAACAGTGCTTTCACAAGTGCAGTTCTTCTTGGCTGTACCGAAAACGGCCTGTTCTACCTCGGGGATCAATGTTGTCTGCACATCCTCAATAACACGGTCAGCTTCGTCCAGCACGAAGTATTTTAGCAGATGCAGGTTAAAGCCGGGAGTCTTGCGTATATGGTCGAGGAGGCGTCCCGGTGTAGCCACTACAATATCAACTAAACTCGCATAGCCCTTGGTACCTTTGCGAACAAGCAACCCTTGTTCCTCAGCGAACGTTCTCGTCCCGGTAACCAATTGCACATTCAGCGATGTTGTACCAACATACTGCAAAAATACAGCATGCACTTGTGCTGCAAGCTCCTTCACAGGAAGAACTACAACAGCACGAACAGCACGCACGACACGAGCTTTAAGGTCTTCTATAATGGGTATAACGTATGCAAGAGTCTTGCCACTGCCGGTTGGTGCAGAAACACAAATGTCGCGCGGGGGCAGGTGCGAACGCCGCTGCTCCGATGAAAGAAGCCATGGAACTACCTTCTCCTGCACAGGGAACAGCTTTCGTATGTGGTTTGCAGTCAACATAGACATCATCTCGGCACTTAGGCTGCTGCTGAAGTGTTCTATCTTCATGCTACCAGGCCTCTTGCCTTTCTTCACCGTCGATGGAACCATTTCTGGATTAGATAGCCATTCCGGTAGAACTCGATGCACTGCATCTGGCTTTTTCACTTGCACATCACCTAGAATTGGATAATATTCTCCAAGACTGGTGTCAACAGGCTCTCTCACAGATTTGTCCTCACCATCTGCTGTGCCTTCAACCTTGCTATCATGCAGCTCATTATATAAGGCAGGCATATGCTCGTCACTTGCTGTGTGTTTTACTCTGCCGGGTGAATCACCACCTCCTGTGCTTTCAACTTTACTGCGGTGTAACTCGTCATCTAATCCAGGCTTATGATTGCGGCTTTCCGTGGCTTTCGCTCTATGGAGTGGATTATTGCCGACTCCTTCGTCACCAACAGCACTTGAGTTCCCATTGCCTCTGTTACGCCGCACGCGAGGCTGTTGGCTTCTCTTCCTCCGGCTTTTCTTTTTAACTGCTGGCGTTTCTAACTTTGAAACATCCGACAAAGGCTCTGCCGAGGCTGCATTGTCATCCAAGTCCTTCAGCTTGACCTTCTTAGAAGGCGGCACCGTAGTCTCGTCCTGTGCGAGTTTCTTGTAATCAATTTCCCTCTTCTTGTCATCATTCTGCTTATGTTTATGTGTAACGTCCACTGAATCTGTGGGCTGACATTCATCTTGTGCTGAACTGTGTGCTGCTTCTTGTTTTCGCTTGGCTTTCTTTAAGATTTTGCGCAGGCGCTTGTCCGGGTCAATCTTTTGCCCTGGTGCCTCGTTGTCATCGGTGAATCTACAAAACAAAATACACAACTACTTAATGACCACAAAGATGAAAAGTAGACATGCATGCCAAATGGCATTATGTTACATAAATAACAATAATGAATTGTAAGGGCTTGAGCTTCGAGAGCCTTGAACCTGGAACTAGAACTTCATAACTTACCATAATAAACAAATGATGCAATTTTTTTATCCCCATTTGAAATTTTTTTCATGTGTTCCTATAGAAAACCTGTTATAGTAGGATATGTACCTTTCAAGTAATCTGTGATAGCTGATTCGTCAACGCAAAACTAAACTAGGATGGTCAGAGTGACCAGTTAATGTTCCCTTACTGGAAACTTAGCCACAGAAATGATGAGACAGCACTGGTGTTATTTTTACTAGATACTATTGCTTTAGCTTGCCAGCTTTGTTTATGCATATTAGACTGTGACACTTGCTAAGGCGTAGTAAATGTTTAATGTGATAGTCATACTGTACCTCTAGACGTTCATTGCGACCATTCCTGTCTGTTAACAGTGGATGAAAGAGACAACGCCACAGCGAGCATGACATAGAAACATGCTGGCATTGCAAGAGCGCACCTGTATCATCCACTTTCATGCATGGTAAACTTACAGGTCACTGTAACTGTAAAAACTTGAGCATTTTCACCCCCTTTTTCTTTCTCTTTCTGCTTTTTCCCTGTCCCCCCCCCCCCCTTTGTATGTACAAACTGTGCTCGTATATGTCGTTATATGCTGGATAGGTTTTTCATATATCAGTAACCTATTCTTTAATTTATAAGTTAACTTCGTTCTACCGTAAATACAGCATTTTCTTTTTCCTCTCCATGTCAGAGAATGCAATATCACTTTTAGGAGACAAATTCAAGGCCACTTTCCTTTTGTGATATTTTGACAAGTTCATAGAACCAATAATGACAAAATCTAAAGACCAATGATTTGTTTACCCTGTATAACAACAGGTATGAAATTGCTGGGGTTTTATGAGCAAAAAGCACAATGACCATGAGGTGTGCTACAGCCAGGGATTCTGGAATAATTCTGCCCAGCTAGAGTTGTTTAACATCCACCTATACCTAAGTACACGAGTGTTCGTGCATTTCACCCCCATCAGAATGTGGCTGCTGTAGCCATGAATTAAACCTGTGTCACTGAACTTAACAGCCTGACAGCTTACCAGCCAAGCTACCACGGTGGGTGTGCTACACCAATCATTACACATGAAAGAGCATGTGTCGTACACCACGTTAGAATGGAAGCTTGGTCCATTCCTTAGCTTTAACAACCTGTATTTTTATGGGTGCCTTTCCATAAAAGTGTTCCCACAATGCCTGCCAGCAACCTCTTCCCACAGGGTCCATCTATCCTTGCTTTCACATGCAGTTTGTCATGCCTCTAAGAGCAAAGGGCAGATAGTATTTAAAAAAAAAAAAAGAATTTTTTTTTTGTTTCCTGTGATTTCAAACACTCTGTTTTGCTGAACAAAACTCAGCTATTCTCTTGTAAGTCCGCAAGATCATGCGACTGAAAAATACCTTCGACAATTAAATGTAGGCTGGTACATTTCTATGTGCCAGCCCGTGACATCACCAACCTACATTTCTCCAGCATTTTGCCAGGGTATATAAAAGTGCTTAGAAAAAAGGCTGTACCAAATATTTGTATCTTTAGCAAGACTGAATGAAAATAACAGGCACAACAATAAGAGGTTCGAATACTCTAGACTGGATTAGAGGACATACAGGAGTAGCCAATATTCTAGTAGACATCAAATCAGAAAATAAGACTTGGGTGCATCACGTAATACTTAGGACAGACAACTCACTGGTGGTCAATTTAGAGCAATGCAGATGATACGAATGGCAAATACAACCGAGGATGGCAGCGAGCTAGATGGAATGATGAAATCCAGAAGTTTGTAGGAAGAATGAGGAGTCAGCTTGTGTAAGAGAGGGTGAATAGGAGATCATTGGGAGGGGCTTTTATCTTGCAGTGGATGCTAACACCAAAAGGACCTTATCAGGACAAAGTAAACCAATGACACTGAACGGGCACGCATGCAGACCTGGGGCAGGTCTGCATCAGTGCCTTGTGTTCAGTGCCTACAATCTGAAATCTGGTTAGACAACCAAATCAACGATGTTTTAGAAGCGATTTTTCTGAAGCAGTGTTGACTTAGGTAACTAATACCGGTGTAACACGAGCATTTTTAAGGCCTAGTTCACACTGAAACATCGGCTTTCTACACCGACCAAAATTCCCCTGCCGCCAAAACGCAGCGTCGTTCGCACTGGACGCGCCCCGCACCGCCGAATATGCCATCTACTACGGGGCGAACGCAGGATGGATGCGCTGTCACCTGGTTGTTGTCGCGGCTCGCAAACGCCACTACGCTATCCGGTGCTGTACACTTCGACGATTCTCGTACGCAAGAAAACACAGTACTGCTTACTTTGCTGGCAAGTGGCTGTCTTGTAATGCACGAAGAGCAGAAAAACCACCGACGGCAGCGGCATTGGTGGGTTCGTTTTGCTCTGCGAGACCGCAACAAGCTCGGTCACGCCAACAGCAAGCTCGGTCACCTCTTTCACGAAATACGGAGGCGAAGTAGGCACAGAGTAGGTTAAACTCCCATTGGTTTCAATATTCAGTTACGTGCACTGCGGCATAGCAAGTGAGTAAAGCTTGGCCGCCATTTTTCAAAATTCCTTGACTAGCACTCCTATTGGTCCGCGGTGACCGATTCGGCGGCAGACGCCGCAAAAATCGGTCCGAGAGCTATCGGCGCGGAGAGGGCCCTTTCGGCGGATCTCGCCGCCGCCGAACCGGATTCGGAGTACTTTCGGCGGCCGGAACGCTCAGTGTGAACGCGGCCTAATTGCAATCAGTGCCGATCCAAATTAACCACGATCCGGATTAAATGCAGCTATGCGGTCACCTTTAATCTGGATCAGGCCCAATCGGGATCAAGACTATCACGATTCACGCGTCGCAATTTGGCTGAGAGATCGCGATTTCATATCGTCTGCACCCCCTGGCCGAGCATGTTGAAAGCAAAAGAAATAAGAAAATCAAGCATAGTTCGGTAAAAACAAATTTTAAAAGCTAGATATTTATTTATAAAAGAAACTTTAAACTGTTTGAATTGGAAAAATATTTGTGAATATGCATACTACAGGATTTGTATTGACAGCATGTAGTTATGGGAGAAGCAGGCAATAAGCAGACAACAAGTTCAACTCTCGCACCGTCGCAGCAGTTGGAGCACCTCGAAGCAAATTGATGATGCGTGTCGCCAGCTTTTCGATACATCACAGCGTACGCGCACTTCGTGGTCAAATGAAGAGACCTTTACAGTAATTGACCGCTGGCAGGACCAACTGGGAGACTTGAGGCACCAAAAGTGAAACTGTGGCGCGTACAACGAGCTCGCCGTTTCACTGCGACTGGGCAACTACGAGCAGGTGCCATCAGAAATAAAAGTGAAGATTAAGATTCTCGCACAGCAATATAGGTAAGCGCAAAGAAAACTCTGCCGAACGATGGACTCGGGAAATTACTTTTGTAGTGGCACGCAAAGTTCTTGACATTCGAGACGTTCTTGCCTGAATCAAATATTGCTAATAAATTGCTTTGTTGATATATCATATGCAGAGCTTTGTCAACGACATGTATGGGTGAATTGATGGATGGATGTGGCTGTACCCTTTAGATCGGGCGGCGGCTAATGCCACCTAGCCGTTTTCCTTAGTGAACTAACTACTAGTTTTATCTTTTTTTTCCCCCTTTAAACAGTGAAGTTGAGGACTGGTACTTTGCAGTGAAGGGTTTAATTTTCACTCGTGCCTTGACTTTAACCACCAATCAGATAACCTTCTTCTAGTTAATTCTACCCGCTTAAAGTCTATTTTTCCCTCTCTTTCCCTAAACCCCAGTGCTTTGAAAAACCCTGCGCCATCATCCTGAACTAAAGGGTGAAGCCCTTAACAGAACATTATCAAGTGTTCGACAGTTTCCTCCTCCTTTCCACATGCACTGCATACCGTGTCTACCCCTTCGTATTTGGCCCGATATGTCTTGGTTCGCAATACCCCCGTCCTGGCCTCAAACAGTAGAGAACTACCCCGAGTATTATCATAGACCCTTTCCTTGGCAATTTCCTGCTTAAAAGTCCGATAGATCTCTAGTGCAGACTTCTTAATCATGCCCATTCTCCACATGTCAGTCTCCGTTTCCTTCACTTTCTTCTTATAGTTCTTTTTGGTTTGGCCACCTGCTGTTTTCTAAGTATTTACCAGTCAATTTCCTGGTTTGCTTCCTCCATTTTGTATCGAAATTCTTCATGTACAAGTAGCTGAAAACCTTCCTAGCCCAACGCTCCTCCCCCATTTCTCTCAATCGCTTCTCAAATTTTATCTTGCTGCTAGCTTCCCTGCCCTCAAATTATGTCCATCCCATATCACCTTGTACTTCCCAATTTCGTGTATTCCTGTGAGCTCCTAAAGCAAGCCTACCAATTCTTCGTTGCTTAATTTCTAATCTTGCTTGAACTTCTGATCTCATGCACAAGACCGCATTGCCGAACGTCAGCCCAGGAACCATGACCCCTTTCCATATTCCTCTCACAACATCATACCTATTGTAATTCCACAGTGCCCTGTTTTTCATTACCGCTGCATTCCTGTTACCTTCAGCTGTCACGTATATTTTGTGTTACCTTAGGTACTTGGTCCCATTGCTTATCCATACGCCCAGATATTTGTATTTATCTGTTATCTCTAGCGTCATCTCCTGTATTCTAAGCTCACTACCTTCGTTGTCATTGAAAATCATGACTGCTGATTTTTCCTTACTGAATCTAAAATCTAACCTATCTCCCTCATTACCGCAGATGTCCACCAATCTCTGCAAATCTTCCTTGTTGTTGGCCATTAGCACTATATCATCTGCGTGCATTAATGCTGGTAGTGCCTGATCAATAAGTTTTCCTTGTTTGACTAAAGAGAGGTTGAAGCCCAGTCCACTTCCCTCTGATTTTGCCTCTAAACCTTGTAGGTACCTCATCAATTACAAGGATGACAGTGGACACCCCTGCCTAAGCCCCCGTTTCACCTCAGTGGGCTTGGATACCTGTTTTTTTTTTCACTTTATAACTACCTTGTTACTTTTATAGATTTCCTTTGAAAGATTAGTGACTCCATCTTCCACACCTAGTGTGTCCAGTATTCCCCACAAGTCCTCTTGAACCGCGCTATCGTACGCTCCCTTGATATCCAAAAATTCTAGCCACAGGGGCCCCGTGTTCCTTTTCTGCTATTTCGATGCACTGCGTCAGTGAGAACAGATTGTCTTCCAACCTCCAGTGTTTCCGAAACTAATTCTGCAGTTTCCCCAGCACCCCCTCACCCTCTATCCATGCCTGCAGTCTTTCCTTTATAATCTGCATCGCCAGCTTGTAGACCACTGATGTCACTGTTATAGGACGGTAGTTGTTTATGTCAGCTTTGTCCCCCTTTCCTTTATAGATCAGGCTCATCCTGCTAAGTTTCCATCTATCAGGGACTTCACCATCGATTATTGTTCTGCTCACTGCCTCTCTCAAAGTCTGTTTAGACTTTGGACCCAATGTCCTTATCAGCATAATTGGAATGCCATCTGGGCCTGTTGATGTACTACTTGGAACCCTTTTCTCAGCCCTTTCCCACTCTCGTTGTGAAATTGGAGACATTGCGCCACTTGATTCATTCTTGTCTATTGTGGTACATCAAGCACTTCTTTGTTGAAATTTTTCTGTCACCCTTGTTCTTATATATTCAATAGCTTCGTCCCCTTCTAGCCTAGCACCTTGAGCTGTAGTTATAAACCTCTGTTGTAGACTTGTTTCATTTCTTAGGGAGTTTAGATGGTTCCAAGATTTCACAGCTGCCTTTCTGTCCTTTTCATGTGCTTCAGCCAGCCACTGAGCACCCTTTCTTCTGATCTTTTCATTGATCAGGAGGGATGCTTCCCTTCTAGAGCTTAGAAAGATTTCTCATTTTCTTTTAACATCATCTGTCGGCTCACCCGCTGCTTAGCATGTCTGTGTTCCCTAGAGGCTTCCCGACGTTTTGCTATGGCTCTCTTAACTTCCTCATCCCACCAACTCTTGGGCTTGTGTCTTTTTTTCCAGGGTGACTTGTCACCTGCCTTGGCAAGCTCTAGCCCAAACAGTCGAATTAGATTTGTTGGATATCAAGGGAGCGTACAATAGCGTGGTTCAAGAGGATTTGTGAGGAATACTGGACACACTAGGTGTGGAAGATGGAGTCGCTAATTTTTTAAGGGAAATCTATAAAAGTAACAAGGTAGTTATAAAGATGTTTTACGGCACAAAAGTGACACCTGGTGCATTTCATCTGATCCAAGCTTGAATCGGATTAGTTTGTGCAGTGTAGCAGCGGCCATAAAGTTCATCGCGGTCAAGAAAACCGATCTGGATCACCCTGATCGCGAACAAAAGTGCCCGTGTGACACCAATGTAAGCCCAGCAGTGCAGCACATCTATACAAACTCACAATATTTAACACTCCCAAAATTAGAAGCATGCCTGGTTACAGAAATGGTAACAGTTACTGTCAATGGATACAGATGACTTAACACTAATTTTTAATGTGCTTCGGTTGAAAGCCTTAGAAAACACTACAATAAGTTCGGATGCTTGAGACAGTCAAAGTATGCCTGCATAATGTTAAGGGTGGCAGCATAGTCCTATGCAATGCCACAAAAGAATTTTAAATCGCACCAAGACGCTAGTTATTACAGGTGTTGCACATTGAGCAGCATTGAAACTGAACATTACGGTACCCAGCAAGCAGTCATAAATGAGGTCCGAAAGGCATGACGACCCCGTAAGAAGGTGAACAGTGCTGTTTACTTCCACGCTCGTGCTTAATGGTCGAGTTCACACATTTGGTTTCTTTGAATGTAGCCGTGTAAGAAAGCAGTTTGTCCCTTTCAAAGCAACTTCCTTCAAACCTTTTCTTTTTTTCATTTATCTTCGTATCCAAGTGACCACCAAAGCTGCTACTGTTTAGAAAGGGAAATCGTATTCAACGAGCAGTTCAGGAAATGCTTGCAGCCTAAAGACTGCATACAAGCCAATAATGGTTTGCAAGGTATAACAGGACCATATTAGTTAAATATACCACAGTAAAAAAAAAGTTCCGAATACATCATTAGAACTTTGCTAACGCCTGGAGATATAAGGGTCCACATGTGGCCTGATATACTAGGAAAAGTTCAATTAAACATTTCTAAGCTTGTTATTAACATCTGTAATGCTACTGCTTCAGTACGGACAAGTTTGTTGTCCTATGCGACAGAGCTTTCAAACAAAAAATCGCACGTGCTCGGTCAAGACAATTCGCTTTCGATGAAAAGCCAACACCATTACCAGCCAGGACAACTCACCTGCTTACAACGTATAGTTCCTCCATGTTGCAAGTAGGAACGTTGACTTGTTTACCAGCAGAAAGTTCTGTAGATACTCGCGCTACAAAATGTGCACCGACTGCTCACAGATTGCGCATGTTTTGCTTCAACGCATGCACATGCGGCGAAGAAGGTGGGAACGGCTGTTTTATCTGGCTCACAAGCCAGTCCTATCCACAAGTCCAAAATTGAACGGTGATGATGATAACAAATAAATTGCCTAGCCTCCGTGATTGCAATTGAGTATCAGAGGCCACAATGTTAAATGAAACGTTACGACCGGTTTCTGAAAAAATTAAATAGGAAAGATCTTGAGTTTTGTCGCGTTTAGATTTCTACGTGAACGCATTCGGTAGGAGTTAATTGTGCTTGTAAACAACGTTGTAAACTAACATGCAAGCTGAGACCAGTCCGCAACAAAAACATTTGAAGTCCTTAAAAGCAAACTTGTAAATGTCAAATAAGTGCGCTTTATTTAATTGAAAATTTAGTATTTAAGGTTTGGAATGGGATATCACTAATTTACAACTAAAGTAAGCGTTGTTTAGAACATCGTACACCCAATCGCAACCTAGCCAAGACGAGCTGGCATGTTAAAATAATGCGTTTGTTATTACGACGTCCGTTGTGCAACGTGCGGATGGGTGTTTTAATACCGGCACGTTCGCTGTGTTCTTTGAATACAACGTAAGTAGCGTTCATCGGCGTTCCAATCTAACGTGAGCCGTCAGTTTATTTTCGTCGCGATGACGCTATTCAGGCCAGCATGGCGACTTTCACTGCAACGTCTCGGCCGCAGCGCCTCAAATCGAAACGTCGGTGAACCGAAAACCGTACCTGCCGCACCACGAACCAGGATACCGGCAAGACCATTGAGCAGCGATTCCGACGCTTCGCCTGCGTTCACGAGCAACCCGTTCTACAACAAGTACGCCGACAAGATTCGAGAACTGGAGCGTCGAGATCCCGACGCGCTCAAAAGACGTCATCGCCAGCCGGAGGAGACGGTGTCGACGACGCCTCGAAAGGCTGCGACGACGAACGAGTCGGGGTCCGAGCACAGCGGTGCGGTGAACGCAACTAGCAGGGACGCGAAGTCGTTGCACCCAGAACCGAGCTACGTGAGGCCTTCGAAGTTCGACGCAGAGGCGATACGGGAGCTTCGCTCCCGTTGCAACTCCGTCTCTGAGATCACCGAGGCCTGGAAACAACTGCATTCCGGCAGAGACGCGGTCTGCGCAGTGATCCCTAGTTCCACCTACGAGACGATACGGGAACGGGTTAGGGACTATCCCGTGTTCCTCTACCCTCTTCCCAGGAAAGCCGGAGGCTACGAGTTCGTACTGTCCCAGTTTTTAGGCGATCAGTGTCACATGACTCCTTTGGCTAGTTACCAAAGGCATGGCAGCGAAGCACCGGCTTGCCTTGCCCTCCACTACTGGACTCAGCTCGCCTCGAAGGATGACTTGTCGGTTGTTCTGATGAGCGGAGAGTACGACGCCAAGGTTATCGGTCCCACGGAAGCGCAGTGCTTGGTCAATCAGCTCCAGCTCTACTACGGTGGGAACGAGCTGAAGAAGAAGCTTCTCCTGTGGAACTTCAACCGCGAGTCGCGCTCTTTCAACCACGAGGCCCTTATCAGGGAGTTCGAGTCGTCGCTGACGCAGGAACAGGAAGGTTCTTCGGTGAGGCAGCGTTGAAAGGACTTCTGCAGAACTTTCGTACAGACAATTGAACGTATAGATTTCGTGATTATAGTGTGCGCCTTCGTGAAGTCGGCGCACATTTCTGCGGTGAGCGAACCACCGCAACAACATTTGCAAACGCAAGCGTGTGCAGGGTTCCCCGTGGGGGGGGGGGGGGGTTTATTGCAGCGCGCCCGCCCCTATTATGTCAATGTAGAGGGCCGTCCCCCCCCCCCCCCCCCCTGCATCCTTCGCGTGCACATCTTTGATTCAAGATTGCATCAACGCGTGACCGAAAGACAGTGCCACATTCGTATTTGTGTGCCATAAGTGTTACACTTATGGGCCACCATAACCGTCTTTGGCATCCATCGAATTGTGAGTAAAAGTTGAATGAAATGACTGATTTACACAAACCGCATGATTTATTTCTTGTGAGGCATGTATGTGAGCTTGCCTCTGCTGCTGTAGTAGCAATGGGATGTGCAGGAAGCGCAGTCAGGCACTCGCCTAAACCCAGTGGTATCTGTTACATTTGTATGCTCAGGGCATCACCAAAACAAACAATGTGCGTGTTTGTCACTTGAGGTACAGTTTGCGCTATTTTTTTTGTAAAGCTCTGGTCACACCCGTAGTTCACAAGTGTGATGAGAGATAGCCACAGCCTGCAACGTACAATGTTCAAACAGCTAGCAATAATGGCATGGTTCTGAAAGCGAATTCAGGCCACGAAGTTTCCGTAATGTGTCATAGTTCTCACGAAACCGTCGCAACATGCTGTCTTAAATCTGTGCCAAGCTGAGCCCAAGTGTAGGTGCGGTATATTTGGCGGCTCTCTGTTGTCATTTTAGCCAAGGGATGTGAGCTTGCAGGTGCTGCTTGTGAGCTGATAAAATTACAAGCGATGTTGCAACTCTCCAATCGAGAATTCTTAAAGGAGGAACATAGGCGGCCATAAATCGCACACTTGCTCACATGCTGTGGCAGTGCCCAGTGTTAACGTTGCGCAAATTTTAGCACAGGACTGGGAGAGAGTTCTTGAAAGCTGCTAGCTCTCAGTCCAGTTGTCTGCACTCAAGGTGGCCTGCGAATGGGCGGAGGGCCACAGTCTTCCAGTAACAACATTGGTGCGGCCAGAAACTGCGGTGGACCCACGGGCGTCAACAGGGGGTAAAAAAGGGGCACTTGCCCTCTGCAAGCCTCTCCGGCACTTGCCCTCATCAAAGCCACACTAGTGCTCTCCTCCTCACCAAGCCGTGATGAAACACCGGCTTGCACTCCCCCGAGAAAAAAATCCTGGCGCCGAGCATGGCAGACACCCCTTCTGGAGTGTCTGATCGGGCTTCTCCTAGACAAATAGTTAGTTTCACCTCATGCGTAATTGCATACATTTATGTGTGCGCTTTAAATCATCAAAGTAATCCTAAGTAAGCGACTCAAGCTGTTGAAATTCTTGTCCTTCTTAAGTCTGGCGAGGGTGAAGCAACCCTGGCCTTCCAAAAAAAAAAAAAAATTCTACATTTTTAATGTTATGTACACATGTGAACACTAGCACAGACATACACAAAGGGGATTTAAGAAGCTGTCTGTGGCCCTGGATTTCCCTGCTGTCTTATGCCGTGAGCGCCCTTCAAAAGTTTTTCAGCGTTTGTATCGCAGTTAGTAATACGGCCGATAGGCACGAGGGTTTCTTATAAGACCCGTATTCACAAATCGACCTTGGCCTCACCTCACGTCTTCCTCAAGTTTTTGTACTCTCTACATGCGTTACAAGGGGACAAAAATGGTGCCAGGGTAAACGATGACAAGATCGCTTCGAGATCACCGGCCTACTTTTTTCATCAAGTGCAATAAAGGTTTAAAATCGAGAAGGAAAACGCGTGGTAAGCATGGGGTTGGTTTGTGAATACGGGCCTTACTGACACACTTGCGTCTCTTGGTAATCTTGCAGTTAATTTTTTTCAGAGCTATGCAACAGTTATCTTGCTTCAGGAAATACCATACCACACTTGTGTGCTACTGCTTGATGTGTGTGCAACGTTAAATAACAAAAATGAAAAGACAGTTAGGTAAGCAATGGTGCATATCAAAAGCAGCCATTTAAACAGTCTCCTGTTTCAAAAAAGAAGAAAAGTAACACTCAACTGAAATTGTGGACTGCAAGGTACTTGCTGATCTTGGCCGTGCTAAAATGCCTCAAGAAAAAGGGCAGCGCATCTTTTTTGTGCTTCCCAAAAAACCTGCTCCGGTTTTCTTGAAAGACATTGAAGCATTCAAAGCAAAGGAATGCAAGGATGCTCTTGAGGAAACATTCTCAAGCATCTGGACCATTAAGACTAGGCATAGCTTAGGCGCCTGTTCCTGTGTTGAGCAACATCGCCGTCGGTGTAACCAATAGACACGAAAAAATGAAAATGAGGAAAGAATACTCAAGATTGAATGGTATTTGAACCTGGTCCCCCCGTGTGGCATTCTACCACAGAGCCACACTGGTTCTTAAAGCGCGATCATTTGCAAAAAGACTGTATAGGGGTGCTATTTCGAGCAAGAGATCGTGTTGACCTATGTATGATAACCTATAGCGTGGCAGAATAAAATAACAACCAGTGGCCACACAATGCCGAATGCATGAGTGTGTGATTTAATGCTTTCCACCCACTGCAAAGTGCTCTGCCATAATTCTTCGTCCTCGTCGGCCACATGCGTCATCAAGAAAGCGCACATAATACGTACCTTACAGATGTGTAGCGCGTACCCAATTTATATGCAGAAAAATGAATAATGGCGTAGTGTGTGCTAGCGGAAAGGCAAAACTTCCGAGTACACCTGATCTTGACCCAACACGAAGCTGTGCTCAGACTTCGCATTAGTGTAATTGTCACTGAACGTTTTTTGTAACCAACCTCTTTTCCCACCAGAATTCATGCAAAGAGAGAAGAAATTGCCTGCCCATTAGCAGCATGAAGGTGTAAAGGAAATGTGTACAGATAGTATGTCGCAAAGAAAGCTTCCACTGCAATAGTGGATAAAGACTGTCACAGAACCACATTGATCTCACAGGAAATTCATTGCGACCCAAGCAAGCGGCCGTGGCTTTTTCCTCAACCGAGTCTTCAATCATTACAGACTGCCAGTATATATAGGCATGCCATAGTGGCCGAATATTTAAGAACGTGCTTGGAATCGACCAAGCCTTCCGAGCTAAGGACCCCTCTGCTCGGCTATCTTCTCAAATAAAAATATTTACTTTTTCTCCCTCAACTTGTTGAAACGCTTGTCCTGGTTAAACATTTGAACTCTGCACCAAGGCATGCCCCTTTCATGCACAAACTGTCATGCACTGTGTACAGGTGGGAAAAATTCACATAGCATAATTTCGAGGTACTCAATATTATGTAGCAATGGGTTGTTTTGACCGAGTTTCAGTCATTAATTGTAAACAGCACATAATTAAATATTGAAAAGGGTACCAATACAAAAACATTGGCCTCGAGTTTTTTTGCTGCAATGTGTTGCTAGGGGCCTGTTAGTCGTGACACAGCACATCGTTTGTTGCAACAAGCAACAGATAATTAATTAGGAGCCCCTTATTTTCAACCAGTTTTTATTTGAGAACTCCTAATCGACTAGCCGCCGGTGGTGGAGATATCTTATTTCTCCCAGAAAAAATAATAAAAATATGTAGGGGACCAGTACAGACTGGTTGCTCTATTTGAGAGGACGTCAGCAGAGATATTCAGGCTACTGCAGCCCCCACCGTGCACTGGATGAGCAGGTATCGGTCTTCTGGCTCGGAGGCACGCAAGAGGGACTGCCACGACTCTGGGGTATTTGCGTTGCAATGCGTGCACATCCGCACCATATGTATGAGTGTCACCGGGTATGAGCAATGGTTGCACCTTGGCGCTATCTGTTCCACGAGCATTCTACTGTATAGGAGCGGGTGTGGGAAGCTCCCGATCTGTAGTTTGCACCATCGGACGGCCTCGCGTCTTGTTAAATTGTGGCGTGCAGGAGGGTATACGCATCTTCCGAGCTGGTAGTACTGTAGGATGTCTGTATACGTGGGCAGTAGTGTGTCGCTCGACATATGTGTCAGGGGAAGCGGCACAGTGAACCCTACACTGGGCTCGGCAGCCAAGATCTCGGGCGAGTGTGTGCACCTGTGCGTTTCCGCTCAGCGACTCATGGGCTGTAACGCAAAGGAATAAGCGAGAGCAGAGAGTAGAATGTGCAATGCCTGGTGGCAGATGCGGCCGGCACCATAGGTGCAGATTGCTTGTTGGGTGCAATCTTCGCCACCTAGTGTGTGCAGTTCTCAACCACGTCAGCACACATAACTGTGACGCACTTCCGCACAGTCTGCATCAACAACTTCTTTTGACTAGGAAACGCGAAAGCATTGTGGCCAAAAAACACAAAACTTTCAACGCGTGCACCACAGCCACGCACTCGCGACCAGCCTCCGAGAAGTATGAACTGCTGGAACAAATGCGGCAAAGAAAAAATGGTGCCTAAGTAATCATAACTTGTTTTACTGATTGCAGCGCGGTGACGCGAGGAAAGTAAGGGGGTCCCCAAGGGTCCCTATTTAGGTGGTGTCAATACCTCTAATATTCAAATGTTGAAATTGCTGTAAAATACCTTCCAAGCTAGTATTGCCGTTAATATTTTGCAGATGATATGAGCATGTTGAGGAAAATTGATCACTTCGGCTATGTCTCCCATAAGATCTTGCATTGGTTTAAGGGGGCAGACTGGTTTTAGACATTTATTTCTTCAGTGATCTTCATCAAACTCCACAGGATTATGCAGTTTTTTCAGCTGATTTGAAATATTTTATTAGTTTTCCTGTAACTTTTGTTCCCGAGATAACTTAAGTTTACTTCATACTGTTTAAGGCCGTCATAGCAAAAAAAGTGCTCAATTAAGTGATATTTAAGATATGCCAACATAGACTAATGATAACAGAATGAAATTATGCAAGTTTTTTTTTTTATTTTTAGGCCTTTCTTGGTTACTTTACAGCAAAATAAACTTTCCATTTTCAGAAGCAGATGAAATTGTTACAATTTTGATGAGTAATTAAAAAGGCTTGTGCTCTAAATTCTGCCCCATGCTTGCACTCTACACACATACAGATCTCCATTGCAAAAAG